AGTTACGATCGTACGCTGAACTGTTTGGCTGTAAATCTTAAATTACCTGCATTTAATAACCAATAATTTTAATAATTATAATTATAATTAAATATTTTTTTAAGTTAACATCATTTAACATCTATTTAATTAATCGCGATAGAGATGGGATATTTTGGTGAAAAGAATAATTGACTTATCTATTGCCATGATCAGCAGACTTACCCTTACTTCTAAGTTTTGGAGCGTCATTTCACCAAAATAAATTTTATGACACACGTTAGTCACATAAGAAACAAATATTAGCGGTCGCCTGTGACTCCGTCCGCGCGGAACTAAAAATAACATAATTAAGTAGCCTGTGTTCTTCCTGATAATGTTTTATCTATGCCAATTTTTTATCAGTTCAGCTGTTCTTGTATTACCTTCAAACAGACATCTATCCTCCATCTAAATAATCTATATATATATAAAAGAAAGTCGTGTTAGATACACTATTTATAAATCAAGAACGGCTTTACCGATATGGATGAAAATTGGTGAGGAGGTAGCTTAGAGCCAAGAGACAGACATAGGATACTATTTTTTTTTTTTTTAATTTATGGCTAGAAGAGCTGCGTATTTAACATACTAATATTATAAATGCGAATGTTTAAATGGATGTGATGTGGATGGATGGGTGTTTGAAGATATCTCTAGAACGGCTGAACGTATCTCGATTAAATTTGGCATACGTAAGGATTATTAATAATGCATAGTCTGAAAGAACACATAGGCTACACTAATTAAGTTTTGATATATCCACACGGACGTAGTCGCGGGCAACAGCTAGTTTGTAATATTAGTAAGATGTGTGTTTCGACATATTTTAAATTAGAACAGACCTGGATTAGTATAAGGTACATAATGTTCATGATAAATCGAATACAATTCTGCGGTTGGCTGGCTAATAAACTATTAAACATCGTTTTAATTACTCCTCTGTAATGCAGCATTTTATTATAATTACAAGCATTTTATTGCATCTAATAAAATAGATTAGACAATTCTTGCACTTCTACAGTGATAATATTATCCATTAGCGACGTTTAAATAACGATTAAACATTTTAACTTCTAGATTTAAGTCCTGTTTCTGTGTTTAATAATTAAAATCAATACAATTATTGATATTTTTATGACTATAGCTGTTGCTCGTGACTCCGTCTGAGCCGAATTAAAAAAAATAGTAGGATATGTATTCTTCCAGACTATGTTCTATATGAATGCCAAATTTCATCGTGATCCGTTCAGTCGTTCTAGAGATATTTTTGATTTTGCTCTGAAGGACATCTGATAATATCTTTGTTATTTTATGAAATGCTGCTTTCTTTTACCTACAATAAAAAAAATGTCTAAAAAATAGCTGGAAGCTTATATTAAAACTTTACGGTAAAATTAAAGGGTAGCTACGTATTAGCATTAACTGGGGGTAACTTTTTAATACGGAACATGTGAAGAGGAATGGTGCGGTTGAATTAATTTGATTCTTAAATTATTCAAACAAAAGCTTAATACTTTTTTTTATAACAGAAGGGAGCAAACGAGCAGCGGGAACACCGAGGTGTTCAATGACGCCCATGGACATCAGCAATACCAGAGGAACCGCAGATGCGTTGCCGGCCTTTGAGATAGTGATAAGCTCGCTTCTTGAAGGACCCTACGTCGTAGCGGTTATATTACGGTACGGTAGTACTACTTACAAATATTCTTACTCTCGTTTCCTTGTAAAAGGACTGAGACATTATGTTTTCGAACGGGTATTTAAACAGTGGAAACTCGCAGTTTTACGTACAGTAATTCATTTCTTAAGACGCATGTTACAAGGTAGAAGCAGTATAATTACATGTGTACTGGATATAGACAAGTTGTTAAACTAGATTTAGATCATTTACATTAACTAGCTCAGTCATATTCAATAATTCATACTCGCAACTTAATGTCCATTTATAATACACTAGTTGTCGCCCGCGATTCTGTCCGCGCGGAAATAAAGAAACTTAATTGGTAGTCTATGTGTTCTTCCAGACTATGTTTAACATCTGTGACAAATTTCATCAATATCCGTTGATCCGTTCTAGAGTTACCATCTTAAAGACATCCATTCATCCATCTAAACATTCGCATTTATAATATTAGTGTTATAATAACATAGCAATGTATATTGATAAATTAGACTTCTTTCCAACTTTTCGGTGTGCAAAAGGTTAAATATAAAATTCTCGAAGCAAAATAACTACAATCCAATTCTTGGTGTCACTTTAATACGTCAAAAATTACCCTTAATATAACATTTACTTTAGTACAAACTTAATTAACTTACGTCATTTAAACTTTAAAAAAAAACACACAAATCAATCATCAATCCATAAAAAGTGATTGCTGACTTACATTGAATTTATTAATAATGTATTCGAAATCCGGTGTCGCAGCAATTGACATTTTTTTCAATCGACAGTAACACATGGCCTCCGTCCACCGACCTGGATAACGGACTGATCCTGTAACGGTTACTTATTTACCTTTTGAGTCAAAGAACGGGGTACCGGGACTTAGAAACTCCACAAATTCTAAACGACATAACTGAGATGCCAATTTTGTATTGAATATTCGGCTATAACGCACTATGGAAAAGTAAAAAACAAGTCTTTGTTTCTTGTAATCTATATTATTATAAAGCAGAAGAGTTTGTTTAAACGCGCTAATCTCAGGAACTACTGGTCCGATTTGAAAAATTCTTTTTTTGTTGGATAGTCCATTTATAGAGGAAGGCTATATAACATTACGCTGCGACCAATAGTTTTTTTTTAATTCCGCGCGGAAGTCGCGAGCGACAGCTAATATTAGAATAAAACGCGCTAACACAAATCTAGAAATTAACATTCGAATCATTTTAAATTAAACAATTGTACATCTCTGATGTTAAAGATAATAATTGAAGATGTTAAAACAATTGAAATGTTATGGTCACTAACAATAATATTCTCACTAATGTAATCAACGTAACACTTAAGCAGTACTAGTTATTCGCTTAATGCGTTTGATTATACGATACTTCAGTATGAGCTGCATTTATTGTACTTATATAATGTCAAGATTCCTATGTAATAGCTGATGTTGTAACCAACGGACAATTAAAATAAAGAAAAAACGTTAAAATTACTCGACAAAGCGGAATTGAAACTATTGGATTAGCTGTATGTTTTTAAATGGTAATTACTGTTAGGCAATAGCTTAGTTACTATGAAACTACCGTCGCAAAATAAGACAGAGTAGTTGGTATCAAAATAAAACAAAAAAAAAACATTTGAAAGGAAAAGTAATTGAAGCTTTTTAATTGGCAAAGAGTATAAGTTAGTATAGGTAGTGTATAGTTGTATTTAGAAGCCGTCTGGTTCACGGAGCACGTGAGTATATTGATCTGAAGTAACGAAGGGGTCGGAATACAACGGAATAGGTAGCTTACTATCCATATTGTCAATGTTATATTAGTCGTAAGAGTTACTACGAGCTAAAAAATTATAAAACTTTACGAGTCCCTAGCCTTACGAATGTTCTTATAATGAAAAGAGGGAAAAGGGAGTTTGGATTTGGTGAAGCAGGGTAAACAGAACGGAAGTAAATATTACCATAAGTTAAACCTATGTCCATACTAACATTTCTAAACTACTAATTTTACAGCTCTTAATCTGACTCAGGTTATAGTTTACTATAAGTAAGTTAGTTAGAAATGTTATTATAAGGAAAACGTTCTTTTAATTACGCTAATAAGCCCTAAACCATTGAATCGTCAGTTTCAGTTAGCCCTGGTTTAAAAGATTGACGACATAAAATCGTAATTGACGCGACCGCTTACATGGTTATAGGCTAAGCGTATCATTGATTTAAAAAGGCCAACGTGTGGAAAAGTTGTTCCGGACAAATTATATTTAACTCGTTAAAGCAAACTTTACGTTATAGCGTTTGATAATAAAAATAATTAATGAACAAATAGAGTTCATAAACTTTGTTTAAAAATAAAATAAAAAACTTAGATTAAATATTACAAGTAACCTTTCTCGAAGTTGTTGTCAAGCTTTTAATAATAATATGCCTGTATACCTTTTTTTATTAATTTGGCGACTAAAAAAAATCTATCCAATAAGATCAAAAGAGCTGTGAAAAGTGCAATAGTAACCTGAAATCAGATCCATGCAAGCATTTCGCAAGCATTGTAGCGAACGTGTCGGGTCAACCATTATGGATGGTCTTTTAGATGTCTCACAGAGATAAATTACGTTGTTTCATCAATCTAAAATGCCAACTGGATAACGAAATATCGACTATTTTGGCTTCCAATAAGCTTCCCGTTTCTTTGTTTACACAATATGTGAAGCTTTAAATGCTTAAGTATAATAAATTTTAACATTTTTCAAACAAATGTCTAAAACGGGCAACACTTTTATTTGGTATTTTAGTCTACATTAAATTAACGAGTTTTTATACGTTATGACGCACGCTTTAACGTAACTACCAACTGAGATTGGTGTAAAATAAACACTACAGCCGGAGTATGTATGGCAACGAACGAAAATCGGTAATTATATTACATTGCCGTATAATTTTATAGAAAAATAATGGTTCTTTTATAACCGATGCACACTGAAAGTGAATTTTTGATACTTAACTACATGCTTTGCATTTCACAGCTTTAGATTGTATCGAAGATTACAAAAAGCTACAATTGAAAGTGTCAGTTTTGAAACATAACCTGTTATTTGATTGCAGCTATTCTGATATTTATAAAACGCTCGATAGCTGTTCCTAAACGATTCGTTGACAATGTCACTGCTCAAAGGACAGACAGGCAAAAAAGGAGACATGAATTATTTTATTGTTCTCCAAACTTCGATAGGAGTCCACAGCATCCTGCGTCCTGCGCGTACAATGTATTGCACAGTTTAAAATGATAAAAGATTATATGAGCATCCAACGAATACTTACCGGATCGCTATATTTATTTTTCTCTTCACAGATGTCCAAAGCCCGCATTTGCGAGGAACGTGAGCCAGGATGCGAATCGCTTCGTTACAATATATAAATAGTGGGCACTCTCCAAAAATATACGGGTTATGAGTCGGTATGCACTTGTATGTTTTAAGTTGCGAGACAATTGCCCGTGACGCACGTGTACGAACGCCTCGATCGGCGGCGCGCGGCGTACTGACTGACGGCCGTATATTCGTATAGTTTATGTTGTGAGGGGCTCGGGTCGGAAGCACGGCGCGCCGCCGGGACGTCGCGTCAGGCGAGGGACCGTGGCAGAAGGGCCGCAACCCGACGTCGACGCGTTTTTTGTCCCGTCTAATATTAGCAACAGTATGTTCCAATCCTCTAACTGAGGGTTTCTGTATCCGAATCAATCATTCATAACCATATTGTCCTCCCAGTTTCTTTGAAATAACTTATATGACAATGTGTATAGTTTCGAAAAGGAAAATCCAGGTCCAGGGTAAACAAGGAATAATAATAGACCTCCCCTTTTTTGGAGTCGGTTAAAACATTTCTTATATTATTAAATGATCGTAATACTTATAAATTTCGTTGGGAGTAGTTCTAGAGCTTTTTAATGTATTTATATATTTGTTTTCAATTTGTAAGCTCGTTGTCATTTTGCACATAATTCAATATAGTTTATCTATCGAGTTTGATTGTGGTGAAACCGAGGATTGCACAATTCAACAATATCTAATTCCAGCTTAAGTGGACTATCAGACATCCGGAAATACCGCCGACACAGGGAAGTAATTCGACATTATATTGCAAAATTTACTTATCGGGCACTTTGCAGTACGTAATGTTTCATTATTATAATTTTTTGATATGGACAGAATTTACATTTCGTAATTATGTTAATTTTGAACATATATATTTTTATATTAATAACTGTGTCAGCATATTTCCATTCCTTATATTACTTTGTGTGGGGTCTCACTACGTTTTCGTTTAGATGAATCTAACATATGTGTCGTCACTTTTTTCTACCATGTCACCTTTCACTCATTCCATCTCGTCCTCGGCCTTCTTCCGAGATACCTCTCCATACTCTTATAAACAAGTGCTGATGAGATGAATACAAGGAGGCACTCCTTCATACTGAAGCCAATTTAAAAACTAAACCTAATTATGACTATTATTTCGAGAAATTAGTTGTTAGGAAAAAATTATAAAGTTTTATAATATGACGGTATATCTTTTATATGCACGTACCTGCTAAATCCCAGGGTTAGGTCATTGAATGATAAAAATATGTAAAAGACAAATTATTAAATATCTAACAAAAGAATAAGAGGACAAAATCTGTGTCAGGTATACCTACAAACAGAAAATACTTCTCTTATTGTGACTCATGTTTCATGATTTGAGAATATTTTTAAGTACCTTACTAATATTATAAATGCGAATGTTTAGATGGTTGTTTGTTCGAAGGTATCTCCAGAACGGCTGCGTGGATCTCACTGAAATTTGCCATAGATGTAGAGCATAGCAAGAAAGAGCATATAAGCTACTAATTAAATTTATTTTTAATTGCGTGTACACGTAATCGCAGACGACAGCTAGTTTATAAAGTTTAATATAAAGAGCTTAGTTAACGTAAACATCACCTTTACTTTTGTACAATATCTTTGTGCATTTTTAAAACAATGACAGATTATAAAATTTATCTCTCATTGTTCTGTTGGACCTTGGGCTGACGTTTTATACTACGCTAACATAACCAGATAAGTTACATGTGGTTTACAATATATATGTTGAATTAGTTTTAGCCAAAATATAAGTTTCTGTAATAAGACACAATTTTAACATGATTCCTTAAGCTATATTAGTAAGCTTTGTTGCTCTGATTTTCGTTATCTTTATTACAATAAGAACACCCAGTAAGTATCATTGGGTACTAAAATGGTATTATAAACATTTGTTAACTACTAACGTCTAAGAATTCTTAGCAAATGACGTCACTATAACATTGTAACAATTTTTGTACATGCTTGTATTACGAGGTCGAAGTCTATTTTTGTTCTGTGATGTACATACAGAGTGTTACAAAGCTTTATTAGCGCTGTAGTAAATTATTAAACTAACAACAGCCGTTACAAAAGAAACAAAAGAATGTCAATGTTTCTAATTTGTTTTAGAACATGTTTAGAGACAGTATCGGCGTTTGGGTGGGGTGCTGGTTAGAAAAAACGACCACGGAGGTCTGGCAATAAAAGAGTCTTACGTGATGCCTTTAATCATCCTCCCCCAAAATGGGGGCGACGTAGAAAGCTCGCCCAGGGTGCGCTAAAACCGACACTATTCTCAGACCTCTTTTGTTTTCTTCTTACTTCGTCCTCATCTTTGAGCTTACGTATAAATGATTGTTCGTTTTAAATACATACATTTATAAACTTAAGTAATGTGTACATCACCAATATTACCAATATAAGTTTTGTTAAATTCTTCTAATCCGAATAACTGTTCCCTCCTTTTATCGTCTCAATTATTTACAAAGATACATATACACATATACATATATACTCACGTATAAGATTTTCAGAAGAAAAAATTAAAATAATTAAAAGATATAACGTTTGTTACTAGGACAGTTCCAATTAACGTGTTTATCATGCGTGCTGTAACTTAACACGCTGAATTATTCACTTCAATAATTTCTCACGACGGCACAAAGATGGCGCTGTCTTACTTTTGTTTTATTTTCATTTATACGCAAGTCTAGACTTCAACTATCTACAGGATTACTCACACGTAACAATCCTTAAGCGCAGTTTTTTTTTATGGAATAAGCTAACTTTAGTGCCTTTTCACGCGTTATATCGGGTAACTAATGTTGTTAGCCTTTTATATAAAAAGAAAGGGCATTTTAGCAATTTATTTCTAAACAATATTAGAAATGCAAATGTTTCGATGGATAGATGTTTATTTGAAGGTATCTTCGGAAGGGATGTAAGGATTTCGCTTCAAACTTGGCATAGATGTAAATCATAATCTGGAAGAACACATAAGCTACTAATTAAGTTTTTTTAATACCGTGCGGACAGAGTGAGAGCTAGTAACGTAATAGAAAACAAACATACAAACCGTGAATCTCCTCCATTTGTTTTTGTTAACATATCGACATTAAAAATGAGCTATTTAAAAACGATAGGTGCATAGTATATACACGGGATAAAATGTTTTATAGCGTTTAAGTTCATTGTGCTAATACAAGCTTTACAATATTATTATGTTACCTCATAAATATATGATATACTCTTAATAGAACTGCTATAAACATGTAAAGCCGTAAACGCAGTGGATAACTCAATATTTACGATCAAATTCTACACAAGTTTTCAGGAAATGCAGTAAACCTTTCATGTGATTATTAATATGTTTTCTACAACGATAATTGGAGGCTTTATAATGTTTCCTTTCCATTCATATTAGCAGTCGTTTATTTCATTATTAACTTTAAAGATACGACTACATTATAATATGGAGATATCTCTTTACGTAATTATATATTTCGTCAGCGCATAGTTAAATAAAAAATAAGTTGACTAAGTTACTGTCACTACACACATCTGCATTCCAATTAATGCCCAAAAATCGTTCCAGCCATTTCCAAGATTGCCCAGAACAAACAAGGATATTTGACAGATAAATAGACAAAAATTAAAAATATTAAATTGTCGTTATATTGTTTATAACGATAATCTCATCATCACATCTCTCTATACTTCCCCACTGAGGGGCTCGGAGCCTACCCTACGTTAAGGGTGATTAGGCCATAGTCAACCACGCTGGCCAAGTGCGGGTTGGTTGACTTCACACTTATCTTTGAATTTCTTCGCAGATATGTGCAGGTTGCATCACGATGTTTTCCTTCGCCGTAAGAACGTCGGATAAATGTACATATGTAAATCCAACGACAATCTAATTTTACCAAAATGCATCATGTTCGCAATTATTTCGATGCTACACGCAGACAAATCAATTTTATTAACTTAAGGGAATAATAAAAAACAAAAGAATTTCTACACTAACAATTAATTCAAAATTGTTAAATTAGTAAGAACTAGCTGTCACCGGAGACTGTTCGCGCGGAATTAAAAAAAACATTATTGTAAGCCTATGTGTTCATCCAGGCTGTGTCCTACACAAATACCAAATTTCAGCGAGATCCAAGCTACCGTTCATCTGTCGATCTCAACATTTGCATTTATAATATTAGTACCAAGTACGATAACGTCAATATGACTTGTAAACAGTAAAATTAGCCTGTTTATCAGTGTAACAAACGGTACACAGTAAAGTAACACTAGTTGACGCATTGCTAACAAGTCAAAATGATAAGAGATACGCTAAAACCATATGATATCATTGTTTTATCTCGAGATACGGATGCGAGGATATCAGTTAATTTACACGCACGATGCATGCAAATGACGTAACCAAACATACGTAAGGAAATAATTTTAAACAACCAAAAATGAGAAGTTGAGAAATCATGAATTTATCAACAATCTAACATACTTTATAGTGTTAGGAATTACTCGTATGAACAAACCTGGATTGGTTTTAGCGTTTACGTCGCCCTGGGCGAGGTTTTTGCAGCGCACACTTTTTTGGTGTCGTGAAAATCTTCCAAAGATATCTAAGGGGGCAGCGCAGGCGCCTCCATTCTGGCGCTCGTGATGCCCCTTTATGCCCGGCGCCCAGGACGGTGTCACACCTCGCTCTACTGTAACGCCGCTACTGAATAGTACCCGGTTGTGTTTATTGCTTTTGTCGATATTTTACCGTCTGCTGTGCACTTAATTACATTACATATGTACGAAAAATAAATAAAATTTTATTATAATTTCCTGAGAATTTTATTTTTAATAACACAGTTAAGACCCACACTAACAATGTATAACTTAATAGCATGGCCACGAAAAATAAGTGGCGTCCTTAAGAAAAGTGAGATCACTCTACTGTTTGTATTTTGATAGAAGCGTGCGTGATGGGAGCCTAGGACTTCTGTGTCACGACTGCAACTTGTGGCTTTATTATGGTGTATTTTCCGTTTTGTATTGCTCACTTCAAAAGATAAATCTCAATAGTCAATAGGCTGTCGAGTAGCACGTTTAAACGACAACTAATTGTTAACAAGGCTACTTATGTAGCTCTTTGTTGTATAACATTATTATGAAATACATTAACATCAAGGATATCTTTTGATGGAAATCAATTGACAATCGAAACAATGATCGCAACCAGAGGAACAGCAG